GAAGTACTAGCACGACTACAACGCGCGAATCTCCGCATTAACCCCGAGAAGTGCGACTTCTTCAAGAAGGAACTCCGATTCTTGGGTAATGTGGTCAGTGATAAGGGAATCCACACCGATCCCTAGAAGGTAGCCGCGATCCAAGAACTAAAACCACCGTCTAACGTGAAGGAAGTACGCCAGTACCTCGGGATAGCCTCGTGGTACCGTCGCTTCGTGCCCGATTTCGCCACGTTAAGCCAACCACTAACTGCACTCCTGAAAAAGGGTAAGCACTGGAAGTGGGGAGTCGAACAACAAGAGGCCTTCGACACCCTCAAGCGGAAACTCACCAAGGCCCCCGTACTCGCGTGTCCTGATTTTACCAAGCAATTCACCTTACAGACGGACGCTAGAAACTTTGGCATGGGAGCGGTACTGACACAGGAGTTAGAAGGAGGCGAACGCGTAATATCTTATGCCAGCAGGAAATTGAACAAAGCGGAGGCCAACTACTCGCCCACAGAGAAGGAGTGCCTTGCCATCGTCTGGGGAATCCGGAAGATGAGGCCCTACTTGGAGGGATACAGGTTTAAGGTGATCACCGACCGCATGTCGCTGAAGTGGCTGAACTCGATCGAGAGCCCCTCTGGCCGTACAGCGAGGTGGGCCCTGGAACTGCAGCAGCACACGTTTGACATAGAATACCGAAAGGAAAAGCTCAATCTGGTCGCGGACGCACTATCACGGCAACCACTGGAGACCCTCCGGCAAGCGATAACGGCGGAACCACAATGCAAGTGGTGGCATAAGCGCGTGGGCGAAGTACACGACAACCCGGAGAAATACTCGGATTATATGGTGCAGGACGGACAGCTCTACCGCCATATCCCGTGCCGAAACCAGGATGAGGAAGCAGTGCCCTGGAAGTTATGTGTACCAACCCCCCTTCGCCAGCGGGTGTTACAGGAGAACCACGACGTTCCCAGCGCCGGCCACATGGGCATCCGGCGGACAGTGGCGCCGATTGCCAACCGATATTATTGGCCAGGTATATTTCGTGACATCAGCCGCTACGTGCGCCAGTGTGATTCCTGCCAAAAATACAAGGAAGGACAACAGAAACCCGCGGGAAAAATGCTTTCACAGGTGGCTTCGGAGCCCTTCGCAACGATCTGCACAGACTTCGTCGGACCTCTTGCGCGATCTACACATGGCAACACCATGCTATTGGTGTTCTTCGACCGTTTCAGCAAGTGGGTGGAGCTAGTCCCAATGAGACGCGCTACGGCAGAAGGCCTCCGCCGTGCGTTCAGGGAACGAATTCTGGCGAGATTTGGCGTTCCGAAGATACTCATCTCGGACAACGGCGTCCAGTTCACCAGCACGCTGTGGCAACGCTACCTCCAAGAGATGGGAATACGACAGCAGTTTACCGCGCCATACACCCCCCAGGAGAACCCAACGGAGCGCGCTAACCGGACGGTCAAGCGAATAATAGCTCAACTCACCAGATCGCAACACCAGCGATGGGACGACCTCCTCCCTGAAATTGAGCTAGCCATAAATACCAGTGTCACCGCCTCTACTGGGTACAGCCCAGCTTTTCTCGTCCAAGGCCGTGAGCCACGACTACCTGGAGCACTCTTTGACGAGATCAACATTGGGACGGGCACAATTTCCCCTACTGCCGAGGAGAAGTCCAGCAGGATGCAGGAGGCATTCAGGATTGTCCGGCAAAATATGGAGAGAGCGGCGACGGACCAGGCCCGCCACTACAACCTCAGACGTCGAAAATGGACCCCTAGGGTCGGCGAACTAGTTCTCGTCAAGGAACACCATCTATCCAAGGCCGCGGACGGATTCACAGCGAAATTGGCACCCAAATATGACGGCCCCTACAAAATCCTGAGGTACATATCACCGGTGATCGTCCAGTTACGCAAGACCGATGGAGGAAGGGAAAAGACGGCCAATATCACGGAATTAAAGACGTATCATACCAGCGAGGCCATATAGACACAAGGAGACACAAAAAAAAGGGAAAGACCACACAAATAATTGAATTAATTAACCAACTTTAATTTCGTACGCCACTCCAACCAGCCATTCAACCGCGAACCACCAGAGGGTGAACATAAGAAGTTCGGAAGAAAAAAAAAGAGAGAAAAGCCAGAAAATGGACGTCAACGATAGATGGGCAATCAGCGTCAAACGCATACGCGAACACATAGAGGAGGAGGAAGCGAAACGTCCTCGCACACAGGTACTGGGGTCACAGCCCACTACCGGCATACGAAACGCCGCGACGGAACGCGCCGAAGCAGCCGACGCCGCCACGAGACACGCGGAGCTGACGGGTAGTGCCACCGCACGCCGCGTCGCAGCCATACGGCGGTCAACGCCCACGCCGCAGTCGGGACGACACGCGTCGCCACCATTCACGACGCCGCAGCGCAGATGACTAACATGCAAACTAGACAGCGGATATCCGCTACCACTACTGCAGTCGCTGCACCCAGCAGCGTTAGTAGCACGCTCATGCCTATGGACCCCACGCCAGGATCCTCCGCACATACCGGCGCCAGCACCACGCGCGCCCTCACGGCGCCGATGACCACTACACCGACGGCCGCCACACACTCGACCGTCACGCACCCAACCGTCGCACATATGGCAGCTCGACGAGCCGCCCACACTCAACAAGTCGCCGGGCGCACTGCCGCCTGGGCGGAAGCCGCCGCAAGGGCGCACCCTATCAGGCATACCGTACCAACGGCCGAATGTATTCTCGGCAGGATAACGGCCGGTACGCACGACGCCTTGGTAGTCGCAGCAGAGCGAGACATCAGTACCAAGGAGAGTTCCACGAGCAGCAACTCAACATAATGCAGTGGGTCGAGCGGAAGTACGACTAGCTCGGACGATAGCACGATTAGCTCAAGTGACAGCTCGGACGACTCGAGCGAGGAGCCGGTTATCCCGTCGACCACCCCGGCCAGCGACCAGATACCCGCGAGGCGAGTACAATCACCGGCCATCCAACTCTCCTCAGGGGAAGAGACAACGCCACGGGAGGAGCAAGCGCCAGTACTGGCATACCCGCCAGGGCCAGGCAGCATCGCAATATACCCGGTGGACCTACGTTCGTTAGAGGGGACACGATGGTTGACAGATGCGGTGATAGACGCATGGGCGAGAGGGCTAGAAGCCGAGTTGGGACCACGGGCCACCATACTCAGCCCCTTCGTGGTGTGGCAACTAACGCAGAAAGGAAACCCGGAGGAACAGTATCGGCGCATCCATCGCTGGCTGCGAAAAACCGACCCGTTCGGCAAGCGGGCGGTGCTAACGCCCCACAACACGGCCGGACACTGGTACCTGCTGGTCCTGACGAACCGGGAGACCACCCACCATCTCCTCGATATGGAATGCTGGAAGGAACGCTACCTGTGGACCGTGGATTCTAGGGTGAGGGGCGGAGTCGTCCACGCAACTGAGACGTGGGGGGAGTTCCTTCAATGGGAGTATACCCAGAGGTACGGCGGGATGGGCTTCGAGGTTCAAGAAGTCTACCCGAAGGTCCCACAACAGGAAAACGATGGAGACTGCGGGGTATACGTACTGGAGACCATCGAGAGGACCATGCGCTTCATCGGACAAGGCAGAGGCGCACCAGGATGCATCGCAGAGCCATTCACGGCCGATATGGCAGCCCTGAAGCGGGCAAAGATACTGACCACGTTTCGGCAGCACGCAGGTGGACGCCAAGTCGCAGAGCCGCCGCCACCACAACCGCACTCGCCATTACACCACGACACACCCGCTACCGCCTCGCCGATTCGACTGCCGCCATCACCGGCCGAATCCACCACTATGATCGCTTCACCGTCGCACGCTCCACTACCAATCCACCATCCATCGACTACACCAGCACGAACACTAGCCAGGTCATCCCTATCCCCTCAGCAGTCCGTATCCCGAACGGAGGAACAGCCGACAGTGCCACCAGAGGGAATAAGAATCCTCATCACCGACGCAGAGGGACCGGCATTAGACCAGTTCCCGACAATAGCGGACAGAATCCGTCGGAGCCTCAGAGTTATCGCCTCACGCGCATGCAAACCCCGGCTGAGGTTCAGCACCAAAGACTACCGGCTAACCGTACACCACTGGGGCACGCACATCCACCCAAGAGCCAGGGGAGTTCCAGACCACGAAGTAGGGGGGGGGGAGTGTGAGGACTAAATGTCCCCAGAGAATTTAGCCCACACAAACTCCCGCACTACCAACCAAACCAGTCACACCACAGCAACACAAGTCAGCGCAACTGGCCACGCAGCAAACCACGGCAACACAAGTCATAGCAACACTCGACATGACAACACAACATCACACAGCAACATGTAGCTGCGCGACCACGCAACATCAAGCACATAGCCTATTAAAGGAGTAGCACGACAAGAAACCAGTCAGTCAGCACGAGACTGTGGTCGTGAACATACGGCTACTGGCAAGAAGTGACTTCATCTGCACCGGCTCGAGTGTCAGGCTTGATTCCACTTCTGCAACAGCTGCTGGTAAGGTGATTTCTTCTGCATCGGCTTGAGTGTCGGGCTGGAAGTCACCTTCCCAGTGGCAGCGCCACAAGCTACACACGCTCTCACCACAGCCTCTCGTGGCACCGCGTACGGGCGACACCCGCTCGCCAGCAGTCAGCTCCGCCGTTAGCAGAGGGACGTCGACAGCGCCTACAAGAGCGCTTCTCACCGCCGTCAGCAGAGCGGCATCAACGGCGTCATTAGCGCGATACT